ACGGGCCCTCCCTTGGAGTTAGAATGCCACTACCTGACTGGCCCTCCCTTGGAGTTAGAAAGCAACTACCTGACGGGCCCTCCCTTGGAGTTAGAATGCCACTACCTGACGGGCCCTCCCTTGGAGTTAGAATGCCACTACCTGACTGGCTCTCCCTTGGAGTTAGAACGCCACTACCTGACCGGCCCTCCCTTGGAGTTAGAATGCCACTACCTGACTGGCTCTCCCTTGGAGTTAGAACGCCACTACCTGACCGGCCCTCCCTTGAAGTTAGAACGCCACTACCTGACCGGCCCTCCCTTGGAGTTTTCAACGCCACTACCTGACTTACCCTGCCTTAGAATAAAACCTGATGATCTACCCTCCTTTTTTAGAACACCACCTGTTGACTGGCTCCACATTGGAACACCACCAGTCCAACTGCCCTACCTAAGAGCACCCTACCAGAAGTTGGCCCACTCTCATAGACCACAGCTAGTAGACTGTCCCTCAATTAGACAGTCCAACTGCCCTACCTTAGAGCACCCTACCAGAAGTTGACCCACCCTCATAGATCACAACTCGTTGACTGTCACCCCCCCCCCACCCCCCACCACAATACCACAAGCTGACAACTGTATTTCAGTTCAACATACACCACAATATATTCCTTTTTTTTCTTTTTGGCCCTAAATAAAATTTTTCATTAAAATATACCAATTAGCTACTACTAAAAAGCGCATTTTAAAAATTACATTATTAAAAAAATCTTTGTAGAGTAAGTAGCGTAGGTAATAAAAGAGCACCTCAATTCAAATCAAAGGGCTGCATAGCTGCTTGCATAGTTCAAAACAAAAAAATACATTTTAAAGCCATAATTTCCTTTATCAGATTGTTGTGCTTCAAAAAAAGATTTAACACATTTATATAGTCCATGTAAACAATTGTAAATCCCCCCCCCCACCCCCCAACTTGCCAAGACAAAAAAATATTGAAAGTGCCACATGACAATTAGAGAGCACGTATAAAAATGCAGGCTGTCGGCAGGTTTGATTTTGGCACTGGAAAAAGCACCATATTATTCTGTGTGTCATGTTAACAGATATTTTTTAATGGACTAAAGATACTGAGAATAATCTTTGAAGTGCAGATTGAATAAATACTGACATTTTCACAAAATAATTTGTAAAGAATCAAATATTTTGATTTTAAAAAAGTTAGAGCGATTTTTTTATTTTAAAATTTCGCTCAAATAATATTTTGAATTCAGCTAAGTCGGGCCAACATTTATGATGTCCGATTTTTTTGCCCCCCCCCCCCCCACCCCCCATTTTATTTTTAAAAAAATTAGGGCAATTTTTTTTTTTTAAAATTCCCCCAAAAAAATTTTTTAAATTCCGCAAACCGGGGCCAAATTTTTTTTTTCCCATTTTTTTTCCCCCCCCCCCCCCCCACCCCAGTAATTATTGTAACATATTTCTTTTACAATTTAGACACCCTCATAATAATTGTACCGAAAATCATGCCTTCCTCCCCCTTAGATGTGTGACATCATTTGTGTTTGCCCCCGGGCATAAAAAATATTCTCTGTTACCATCACGTAATGGATTAGTCTGGATCTAAATATAATTAAAATTATATTATTGAAGACAAAAAATATTTTCAATCCATTTTAAGTTTTACAATGTTTTGGCAAATAAATGAAATATAAAAAAATTGAATTTTTAAAAAAATATATGTTTCTTTTTTTTTTTTACAAATAAAGAGGGGGTGGGGGAACTGATTAATATTTTTTCATCTGGTGAAAACACAATTGTGTAAACACATTTATGGAAGCCTCAAAACCAATATTCAACCCCCCCCCCTCCATCCATGGGCTTGCCTCTGACCCTGGTTACATAACTTAAGTAAGCTGTAATAAGATATGACATTTCCAGTACCATAACACCTAGAATATGCCCCACAAGTCCTGACATGTACATGCATGAAAAATGACAATGTCATATGTCTAATTTAAAGTAAATTTTAAAACAGGAAGTAGGAATGATCAATGAAATCTTTTTTTCCCCATGGATACAAGAAAATATAAAAACAATGTTTTTTTTAAAATCTAAACAAATGTTGAAAGAATAATTAAAAAGTGTTTTCTAGTTAAATGTTTCAAAGAAAAGATTACTCAAATGTTTTTTTTAAAATACATGCACTTAGGGTGTAAAGTTTATTTTGAACTAAAGCACCACAACAAAAGTTTTAGGAATAAAAAAGTGAAATGAATTATTTAAGTGTCTCTGTTCTAAGAATTAATGGCCATTGAGGTAAACAATATAACTTCATTTTAAGTTGTCAAGATAATATGCTCATAAAATGCCCTCTCTGAAAAGACTAAATCTAATTGCTGAATATTTTTAAGTACATGCAGGATAATGACAAAACCAGACACTAGCACGATGCAGCAGAGACTTAGGAAAAAAGTTTAGGGTTGGGTCTGAAGCTCCAACTGCACGTAAGGAAATCAAGATATTATAGTCAAGATAAACTATTGTACGCATCAGCAGTTCCTTTGCTCAGATTCTTAACCAGAGATCCTATTTGTTCACATCCGTGTACAAATCATTCTCAGTGGCATGATTAAAATACTGGTGTCTGAGGATTTTGATTTTGTTGTTTCTTTCAAATGCATAAAATTGTCTGGATGACCTATTTCTGGTGACGATAAGCTTTTTTTTATTTAAACACTAGGTTCATAAAGTAATCCCAATAATTTGGTGAAAATAAATGATCACGTAAATGGTGTGTTGCAATAGGATTAAATGTGTCAATGTGATCTAGGTTGATGGAGGTGCGAAGGTTGGTTCATTGGGAGGTACAATATGAGGTCTAAAGGGTGGTATAATGAGAGGTATGAAGGGTGGTATGTTGAGAGGTAGTTCAATGTTAACTATAAGTGCCAAAGGTTCAAGCAATTTCCAAAGAATGATCCTGAGGTACATCTATAGTTAGTTTTAATCAAACGGTCAGGCTGTTGAGATACAATTCATTCAGCTGTTTGGTTTTGTCATTATCAGAGTTAAAAAAAAAAAAAAACAAGATTAAAAAATAGGAACTTTCTACAAGTGGATGAAGTTGTGAAACAATCAGGCAAAATATACACAAGTGGGAATCAAACAAAAGACATTATTAGCATAAGAAATCTGCTCAATTGATCATATGCTATCATTGGGTGAGTTCTGGTGACAATGTTAGCACAAACAATCAGCTCAATTGATCATATGCTTTCACTGGGTCAGTTCTGGTGACATTGAAAGCCAATTTATATTTGTCACTGAATTAATGTATGTGTTGCTTACTGTATTTGAACACAGTCATTAAAATAGCATAAGACACATTAAACAGTGTACTCACGGATTGGCATAAGACAAATTAGAACAACCCACCTAAAGAAGAATATATTTTCACGAATATGGTTAGGTCCTAAAACAGATGCACTCTGAGCTTAAACTAATCACTTTTTTGTATTTTTACACATGATAGTATCCTCACACAAAAGAAAAAAAAATGATAATTAGAATAATTTTAATATAATGAACTGACAGAACACTAAAGACATGCATCATGGGAAACTGGTTACACACTGGCAAACTAAACACACACCAATAGGATGAAAGCCACAGCCTGTGTAGAGACAACTGATCTAAGTGTTCAAGGAAATAATAAAACATACCTCCTTGTTTTGTTTAGAATAGGACTAGTAATCTCTGTCCTCAATGTTTCTAAATATACACACGCGTAGATAGGTCATTTCTTATATGCCATCATTCTCCTTAGTGCCTAGTGTGTTTGATGAACCAAGTCAAAGACTCAGTGCAGATCTATTTTGTTAATTCCTCTCACACATATGTTGCAGTTTGGGAAGTAAGATAACATCACCACAAAAACCAAGTACCACCATCAATCTTACTTTGCATGTACTATATCTGCTAGATTAAGCCATCACTAGAGAACTACTCATGGTTAGATCTTCTTCTATCACGTGTCTCAAACTGTGACTCATCCACATAAATTAATGCCATTACATAGCCAAAAAGGTATAAACCAAAACAAAATGAGGAAGTATTCAAAATTATTGATTCCCCTAAACAAGCATTTATACACACATATATATATATATAGATTATATAAAATTATTTTTGAAATATATTTGATATAATTTAAATGACATGTTTATGCTACAGCAGACAGGACTTTTACTTAGCATACTATGGGACATTACAATAAAGAAAGTAATCAAAAAGCATACGTGGAAGGCATACAAACATTCATCTGAAAGAAATTTATTTATACAGCTAATCATAGAAAAATAATTTTAAAAGAAATTAAAAAATCATGTTTGAAACTAAATTAACTTGTAACTTCTTTCTCATGACATTTAAATTGGTTCTCACTATGTGTTAGAACTACTCTCTGCCAGAGCTGTTTTTTGTTTTAATTTAAAAATGAAGTGGGGGAATTATCTTCTAAAAATGGAATGTTAAGGCCACGAATTCGTAATAAAAATGTTGACGGTTTGGACTAATTACTGAGGCCTTCAAACCAGTCCTCTACCTTCTTGCTTTATTGTACCACACTTAGTATTCCACAAAGCAATGAACTAAAAGAGACATATATAAAAAGTGCACAATAGGTTCACAGTTCATAGAATATCTGTCATTCAATTTTCTCATTCCATCCACATTCTGCAGACACAAAAAATATGAAGGCTAACTTACTGGACCAAACATAAGTTTAAGGCACCTAGGACCAAACATAAGTTTAAGGCACCGCAAAAATGTTTAATTAAGGCACAACCAACTGATGACATCATGGGCTATGGGTAGGGGGAACAACTCTTCAATATAAAAAAAATCCCACATGATAATCTTATCTTGGCACCTTCAAATTTTGCGCAAGGTCAAAATAAAATGGATGTGGTTCAAACTGAAACACACACACAAAAATCAATAAAACAATTATATGACACATCATTAGGGGAGCATGTTACACCCCCCCCCCCCACCTTTTTTTTCCACTCTCAAATCTGCACTCATAAGAATGTCATTCAAACAGAAACAAATGCAAGAAACAAGTACCACAATGCAAGGGACACCAACCATTTGATTCAACTCTCCAAACTATCAAAGGTGGGGAGGGGGTGTGTAATTATGATATTTTTTTCTCTGTATACAAATAAAAAAAAAAAATAGTGCTAAGGCAGGAATTAATTCCTGCATCTAATCCTAACATACGGTCTTACTTCAAATAAAACACAATCCAAATAGTAGTAGTATCAGCAGAGTAACTTTAGCTTTAACAAAAAAAAAAAAAGAATGAATGCTATGAAGATGAACATTTTAATATGACATTTGAATATCAAATTTAAATACGACTTTTTAAAGAGCGAATTGGATGCTTAACTTTCATAATATCCACATGTTAATAACTTTAACTTTAAAAAAAAAAAAAAAAAAAAAGAATGAATGCTATGAAGATGAACATTTTAATATGACATTTGAATATCAAATTTAAATACGACTTTTTAAAGAGCGAATTGGATGCTTAACTTTCATAATATCCACATGTTAGTTTGACCACATGACACTCTAAGATTCACTAAAAGATACTGCAGCTTCACCTCTTGATAGTTGAGTTTTACTACATGGCCCCAGAAATGGATTGATAGGGTTTGGGTAACACAAGAGCTTAACACACCCCACAAAACAAATATAATAATTTTTTTGTTCCTTTGCTTAAATTACTTCAGGAATCAGCTGGGTGGTAAACTCAAAATAAACACAGGGCTGACACAATGTGACCTGGCTGATCAAGCCTTTTGCTACAACAACTGGATGGTAAACTCAAAATAAACACAGGGCTGTCACAATGTGACCTGGCTGATCCAGCCACACACAAAAAAAAACATGATAAGAAGACCAGAAATGTAACACAAGGGGGTGTGTGCCACTAAAAATACTGACTTTAAAAAATGTTGCATTTTGACAATTAAGTAGTTACATAGATGATGATAAGCAGTAAACTTGATTGCTATAACTGTGGCCATTGCTTGGGAAACAAGGAAGCACCATGCAACATGAGATAATTAGAAGGTGGAGCTGTTCTGCCTTACTCATACTTTTCCCCTTGCTTACGAGAGCCTCCTCGTCTGTGGATAGAGTTGAATTAGAAAATATGAGGACACCTCAACTTGAAATGCATCAAGTAGGTAAGGAATACATTAAAACACACGTGGCCCTTTCAGTCAGTGCCGATAATAATAATAATAATAATAAGTGGTCTTATATAGCGCGGTACCCCGGCCTAGGGCTGGGCTCACCGCGCTGTACATATATAGCAAAGAGGCATAATCATAATATTAAAATAAAATACATAAATGAAATAAAAACAACATATAAGCAAAACAACACCATAGGTCTATTCATCCACCCACACCAGACATTTTTACAAGGAAACCCATGTACGTTTATCGGTTTATAGGAGGAGAATCAGTCAGAGTAGTATAGTTTAAATAGATGTGTTTTGAGTGCAGTTTTGAAGGCCTGTGTGGTTGTTATATTGCGGATGTGTAGTGGCAAAGAATTCCATTGTTTGGGGGCGCAGAAAGAGAAAGATCGTTCACCATATAATTTAGTGCGTGTCTTGGGAACGGACAGAATACGCGAGTCTGCGGAGGAGCGAAGTTGTCGAAGGGGTGAATAGACAGAAAGAAGTTCAGTTAGATAGGAAGGGCAGGAATCCGAGAAAAAGTTGTGACAGAGAAGAGACAGCTTGTAGTCAATGCGTGCCTGTATAGGGAGCCAATGTAGTGAGTGGAGTAGTGGAGTGACGTGATCACGTTTTTTTGCCTTAAGAACAAGCCTAGCAGCAGAGTTTTGAACTTTCTGCAGTTTTTCTATAAAATGTTTGGGTGAACCTGACAGAAGTGAGTTGCAATAGTCAAGACGAGAGAGAACAAGAGCACAGACTAGAGTTTTTGTTGCGCTAACTGTCAGGTAGTGGCGGATGGAGCTGATCTGACGGATGGCGGTGTATGCCGAACGACAAATGTGAGAGATATGTTTATCGAGAGACATGTTGTTAGAAAGAATATAACCAAGATTCCTAGCAGAGGGTGTAAACTGTATGTCGGAGTTACCTACTTGAAATGAGGTGGGAAGAGTTGAGGTAGAGGATGATTTGTGATTGTAAATGAGGAGTGCCACAGAGATTTAAGGCGCCCAAACTTGCAAAGTGGGGAAAAAAAAGGTAATTGAAATTATTTTGATTATAACTGAAGTGTCAGTAGTTTTTAACCCCTTTCCCCCAACACCGTACACACCTCTCAATTTCATTAATAAATTTAACTTTCTGCATTTAAAAGTATTTATATTAATTTCATTGCATCCTTCCTGTGCAATTCAGATGGTGTGTTATAGTAGTATTAGCATCACAGTAAATTATTGTTGATACAGAAATTTACATCAACATAGCAAAAAGATTTAATAATATTAGATTAAATACTATATTTATAAAGTCAACATTGGGAGCGTCAACCTACTTAAACGGCTCATTCTCATTGATTTTCATTCTCCTGTTTTGAATCTTGGAGCAGATTAGAATAATGAGTGCCAGGAGGACAATCTCGGCCGCGATGCCAGCCAACGGCCAGACCCAGGCAAGGGGATCTGTTGACGTAGAAACAAATACAGTTTTAAATCAGAGGTTCTTACCCAGGGGTGCGTGTTGAGTATCATTTCAAAGATTTCTTTCAAAGACCCCAAGCATCAGTTATGTGTTTTTTAAATAAATGTCCTGTCAATGGACTTAAGACAATCCACTTGAGTTAAAACTTACCAAATTTTTAATTTCCAACTATTCATAGCAGCAAGATCAGGCTGACAATATGAAATAAGTCACTGCATTGCACAGGGTTCCCACTCTTTTAAAAACAAAATTCCCTACTTTTTCGCAACAAAAAAATTCCCGACTATCGCAACACAACGTTTTTGTTTATAATATATAAAGCAAAAACAACATTGAAATACAAAACAAATGAACAAAATTAAGCAATTAAGGTGTGTAAATATTTATTAAATTTCTTAGCAATTCGAAGTGTTTAATTTACTTAGACTTGAAAAATTGTTGACGTTTACTTTTAAAGTGCAAGGGCAACTGTTTGCAATGTGTTCTCCAGGGCATTTTAGAACATACCTATAGCTACCACAAGTGGAAAGCATCATTTCTTATATGGAGTTAATTTTCTCTTCTTTATGATGAAAATGGATAGTTTGAAACAACACTTTAGTTTCTATAAAATTTTTCCAATGAGGGTTTCATATTTTGACACATGCTTTGGGAGCTTGACTGAGCAGTTGCAGAAGTGGAAACCTAAGATATGTGATAAGGCTGAATTTAAGCTAGATAGATGAAGTCTCATCAGATGATTGACATTTTTAAACATTTTCCTTTTGAATACTTGATATCAATATTTTCAGTATAGTGTAGCACTGATGACTTGTTCAATCATTATAATAATTGCTGATCTGACCATCAAATTTTAAAGGAACTGTTGGGAATTATTTATTGGGCCTAGATCCTGAATAGGGAAACAAAATAAAATATATTATATTAGGTTTATAATTTATAGTAAGCCATACATCATACAGACTATATTATATCCCTACTAAACTACAGTAACACAGAGTCAGAGGAGATACTAAGATAGGCATATGAAACAGCATAGTCAGGATTTTCCCCTTCTTTTTGGTTATCAAAGTTGCCTCCCCCCCCCAACCCCCCCCCCCCAACAAATAAATAGTATTATACCATAAAATATACCCAGAGCACAGGAGTGCATAACTATACATAAAAACTAACTAAATACAGTTATGGAACTAAGATAGGCATATGAAACAGCATTGTCAGGATTTTCCCCTTCTTTTTTGTTATCAAAGTTGCCTCCCCCCCCCCACCCCCCCCCCCCAACAAATAAATAGTATTATACCGTAAAATATACCCAGAGCACAGGAGTGCATAACTATACATAAAAACTAACTAAATACAGTTATGGGCTCACTGAATGGGTGTATTAAATCAACTAGTTTTAATAACTTTTTAATGAAGCCATAACCTGGTAAATTACACTACACAAAAATATCACAAAATAAATTAATTAAATTTGTCTATTTAAATTTAGAAGACCTACTCCATAATTAAATTTAAAGTGAACTTAACGTTAAAATCTTTAAAAAATAGTTTAAATCTTTAACAAAAAGTTACAGACTGCCTAGCTATAATTAAAAAGACTTGTTCCTCACTTAAGAGTAAAAACCATTGAAAATCAGCTTATTCAGTTAAGACTTAGACATTACAAAGTTACAAAGTCATTTTATACAAGTAAACAAGTAGTTTTCTATTTATAATGATTAACTCACAATTAAAAACTAGTTTCAAGTAATTATTTACTATATTTTACTCTTTACTTACCCAAACATCTCTTTATCGGCGACGTGAAAAGAAATATTTCTGGTTTATCAAAGTAGTATGGTATTCGAAACTTGTACGGCTCAAAACTCATGTGCAGTTAAGGGTAAATCACTAGCATTTTGTCAAAGTGCTTTTTATAACAGAAAGGCTTAAAAGAGAAGAGATCTTCTATTAACATCAATTATCATGGAATCCAAACTTATTATCATTTTTTACAAATTAAAAAATTCCAGACCAGCTACCTTTGACTCTCACTGTAATAGACTTGGAGGATGAGTTCATGAATTCAGCTGAATATGCAATACATGTGTAGTTCCCAGCCTCTGAAAGAAAGTCAGATCATTAGATGAGATTCTCCTATATCATAGGATTTTCTTATGCCATATTTCCTATGTCATATATTTTGGGGGTATGATTATCCTATCTACTAAGTAAAGGGCAGTTTGACCATGTATGGATATGATAATGTATTTATTGGTGTCAGTTGATAAAATGAAATTCCTGGAAATTGCCCAAATCCTTTTACAATAAAAGCTCTAATTTGTAAAAATAATGTATAATTTTCAAATCTGTTAAAAAAACTAGGTGACTGTCTGTCCATACACCGTCAACCAGTCATATTTATCTGTCCATCCACTATCGGATTCATCCCCACAAATCATAATTCTTTGTCCGTTCACGGCTGGATATTCTATACTATCTGCCACGGGTAGCGTCACTATGCATGTTTGCACCAGCGTTAAATTGAAAGCTGTAATTATAGTAAATAATCTAATTTATTACACAAGAAATATCAGCTCATGTCATATATTTATTTGGGTGTTTGATTCTACTATGTCTTGGTGTCAGGTCTTATATGAATCTCCAATGTCTTAGATCTCCCCAAAAGTCTGGGAGGGTGAAGAAGGTTTCGGCCTACTTCTTGATTTCTAAATCCATTATTTTAAACACCGTAACTAATCTGGAGCGGCCTATACTTGGATAAGCACTGTAGTTATCTTAAAGATTACATCACAGGCATGGAACCTTCCCAAGTGGACTAAAGTTACAACTAGGCAAAAGATGACTGTGGCAATATGAAGCAAATTCTTTTAAAAAAATGAAAAGCAACATTATGAAGGTAATGACCACATATTGCTGTGACACCTTTAGAGCCCTTAAAAATAATTAGAAATCAAAGGTTTGTGGGCAAAAGTCGGCTATATTAGAAACATAAATAAGCTGTTTATGGACGGTTACAATTGGAGAGTAATTACTGCAGAAATTGTGCATAAATGCACACACATACTATACTGAGACCCCGGCCCCAATACACCTGTACACAAAAAGTCATATTCCCCCTCAGTACTTATGTAATAAGAATGGCCCCTTTCTCATCTTTGACTTGATAAACAACTGAGCAAAGAAAACATATTTTAATTTTGCTATGCACCATAATATGGTTTTGCTAATTTAATCAGTTTTTTTTTTTAAAGATTTCGCTTGTTTGTTGAACGATACGTTCATAAAGGACTGAAAACCTGTATAAAAAGAACAACGATAATACAGCTAGTGATACTAACGATTTTCAATTTAATTGTACACGCACATACAAAGAGGACAATCTTGTAAGGCTCCTATGTACGTCTTGTAAATGTCTAGGAAAATAAGCAAATAAAAATCTCTCCCAGAAGGCTTATCCATAGGGAGTGAGTGTTAAGAACCATTCAAATGAGTAATTCTAGAAATTGCATCCCCTGAAAGCATTCTTTAGATCGAAATTAAGTATCCTTTTCCCAAACAAGGGAGGGATGGGCAGCTGGTACAGCACTACACATAATAGTGACGTCAATGTCAAAGAAAAAAAAAAGGCGAGACATGTGGTGGTCATCACAATACTACGTTGAAATAAAATTAGGCACAGACAGACTAATACAATTTAAAAATCAATTTAATAATTAGGATAGATTATTTATGGTATTGCAAAGCTAAAGAAATGGAAACGGGGGGGGGGGGAATTTTTATTATGGCCTTAATATTTTTCAGACTTGGCGACAAGTTCACCCCACCACCCCCTGGTAGCCATTGAATTATTCTCACCTTCATATTTGACAGACTTGCTGACTAGTTGACCTCACCACCCCCTGGTAGCCATTGAATTATTCTCACCTTCATATTTGACAGACTTGCTGACTAGTTGACCTCACCACCCCCTGGTAGCCATTGAATTATTCTCACCTTCATATTTGATAGACTTGATAACAAGTTCTGCTCCCTTGTAGCCATTGTATTCCTTAATCTCGGTGCGTTCATCCTGTGTGATGTTGACGACACTGTTTCGAACCCACTTGGCCACCGCTGGGGGATAGCCGAGGATCTCACAGATGAGATGAAGGTCTTCATTCAAATCCAAATTCTTCGAGCGCTTCATGTTGAGCACGAGGGGGCCAGCTATTTAAATAAATGCAGAGTATCTTTCTATTAGGTAGGAAAGAAGTGTTGTATACCTTTAGGCCAGAATTTTCTCAGTTTAATTTTTAATTAACTCTAATCATGTCGCATGATGTAATCTAAGGGCATTCAGCCTTTCACAAAATTTGGGAGAAAATATAACAAATGTGGGAACAACTTTGGGAATTTTTTAATGTAAATATTTGTTGTATTACATGCAGATTTCCATTGGTCCTCACCCACACTGCTCATAGGACCACAATTAACCCAATGCATTTAACACTGCAAGTATGCTGGACAATCTACAATACAGCATACCTGTGTACTCAACACTGCAAGTATGGTTGATGGCCTCAAATCCAGGTTGATTTATCTTAAATATGGCATTGTACACGCCAGCATCCTCACGGGCTGGAAAGGGAAACAAAGATGAGCAAATACATAAAACGATACAAGTAGCGCTACTTAAGATCGAGGAAACTTCAGTGTGAAGTGAAATGTAAACAACAAGTTTTTAGTTTACCCAAGAAGTCAGACACAGTATTTCTCACAACCAGCTTAATTTATTTGGTTGGACCAAGATTACTGAGTGGTCTAAACTGAGCAAATCCGAAATGGTCTGGAGTTCAATCCCCACCAAAGCCCAGTCAAGCAAAAACATCACCAGCACCCCGGGTGGATGGGACTTGTTAACCTTGGATGGCAACTCATCTAAGAGAAGGAAACTCTGAATTCAAACATGAAGTTCCCTTGGGTTATTCAGCGGCATGGAGAGAGGAGTAGAGACCGACCGAAAGTGATTTTCTGATTTTGGCAGAAGCCGAAAATAGGCCGAAAGTTAAAAATGAATTTTGGCCGAAACCGAAGCCGAAAATGAAATATTAAGATATTTTGCAATTCGTTCCCGCATACATTCTGCTTACATCGAAAATGATGTGGGAAAGTATAAATATTTACATTCTTTTAATAAAAATGAGATAATCGTAAATATTAATAAATAAACATCTAATTTAGGGGTCTCAACTCGCAGCCAGCGAGCCATTTGTGACCTGCAAGACGATATTTTGCGGCCCGCTACATGACAGAAAAGTTTAGTGTAAATGCGCCGGCCCGTTTCCCCCATTCTCATATATATAACGTGACTGTCCACGACGGTTTCAGTCGATCTCACCGACTAGTCTAATTCTGATTTTTTTTTTTAATGACTGTATATATTTTAGTATGCCAGGTCTCTGGCAACAGTGAGTAGTTCTTGAGATCCCTTAATTATTTCATTGTTATTTATAAAGGTTGACCAGATTGTAACAGTTGTAATCGCTTTTTTGTGGATTATTTGATGCGGCCCACTCTTATTCAGCCCCATAATTTGAGTTTGAGACCCCTGATCTAATTGAATACTTTGGATTTTACCATTTTAATATAAAAGTAATTTAAATTGCTTTACATTTTTTTTTAATTTGTATGGTAGTAGAAAATTTGGCAAAAATTGGGGAGGGGGGGGAAGAGGGGAAATTAATGCAAAATACTATTTTTTTAAACCGAGTCTCTAAAAAATATGGTTCTAAAAGATCACTTAATTTGTTTTTAAAGATCGTTTAGTTGGTTGTTATTGATCGGTTAGTTTGTTCTTAAAGATCGGTGAGTTTGGTCATAAAGATCGCTTAGATTGTTCTAAAATATCACTTAGTTTCATCTTAAAGATCGCTTAGTTTGTTCTTAAAGATCACTTAGTTTGTTGTTAAAGATCACTTAGTTTGTTGTTAAAGATCGTTTAGTTTGTTGTTAAAGATCGCTTAGTTTGTTGTTAAAGATTGTTTAGTTTGTTGTTAAAGACCGTTTAGTTTGTTCATAAAGATCGCTTAGTTTGTTGTTAAAGATCGTTTAGTTTGTTGTTAAAGACCGTTTAGTTTGTTCTTAAAAATAATTGATTTTGTTCCTAAAGATCAATTAGTTTGTTCTTAAAGATCTTTCAGTTTGTTCCTAACGAACATTTAGTCTTCTGTCAAAGATCGCTTAGTTTATTATTATAAATCATTAAAGATCATTTGTTTTGTTCTGAAAGATCATTTAGTTCTGTCTTAAAAATCGCTAAGTTTGTAATTAAAGATCGCTTAGATTGTTCTTAAAGATCGCTTAGTTTGTTTTAAAGATTGTTTAGTTTTTTTTAAATGTCGCTTAGTTTGTTGTTAAATATCATTTAGTTTGTTCTCAAAGATCGCTTATTTTGTTCTTAAATGTCGCTTAGTTTGTTGTTAAATATCGCTTTTGCTTAGTATTAAATGACCGAAAACCTGAGTCACTTTCACTGGCCGAAAGTCTAAGTCAATTTCGGCCGAAACCGAAGAAAAACCGAAAGTTAACTTTTCTCTTTCGGCCGAAACCGAAATTAAGCCGAAAGTTAACTTTCCAGTTTCTGCCGAAACTGAAAATTGGCCGAAAGTGATAAAATGGCCACTTTCGGCGCCGAAACCGAAGCCGAAATTCGGTAGGCCTCAAGAGAGGAGATTTACTGTTAAGAACCAGCTTATAATCTTTGAAGAATAATCCCAGTCCTTGTGGATTTCGTCCTGCGAAGTCCATGCCATTGTCACTTGTGACGGACATATGCCTGCAAAAAAAAAAATCTAAATACCCTTTTAACTTACTTGGTCTATCAATAGTCTCCTCATATCTTCTATAGAGCGCCTCCCTAGGCGGCGAATAGGGGAAAGCCCACCAGATATGGCAGGTACTAAGGAAATAAAATACCTGGGACGGACCAAAATCAGTACCCACTGCCTTGAAGAAAGTGGAGGGATCCACATAGGCTAGGGACCCAACCCAATACAAAGGCAGCTACTCTGAGAGCTGCAAGGGGCATACCCCCAGACGGTTGTGCGCAGGGCTGATGACCCTGCCACGTAAAAAAGCAAATGTTACAAAAGCTAAATCACATACAAAAAAACAGACTGATAATTTCGACCCATGCCTGAACCAAAATATGATATACGGATAGCGACCTGGAATGTACTTAGTTTATACAGAGCTGGAGCATTGGCTCGCCTCAGTGATGAATTGCTGAGATATAGAATCCTGGTTGCTGTACTGCAGGAGATCAGATGGAAAGACTTGGATATCCTAAGTACTAAGGTGTATACAGAAAGGAAGGCCTGCATGATGAGAGCAATGACAAAGGAACATGTCTTATAGACTTCGCTTCAGGAAAAGAAATGACAGATGGATTTACCTGTAAACCAAATGACCACGTATGCAATGATCGGAGGCATGGCTCTGACATATTAGATGTGCAAAGTTGTAAAGGGGCGGACATAGACTCAGACCACAGACTTGTAAAAATCAAATATAAACAAAGAATTTGTAATATCCACAATAAACAAAATAAAAGAGAAAAACAGTAGAATAGTCAGAAACTGAGTAGGGACCCAAAAATTACTGAGGAATATCAACAGAACATTGAAACTCAACTAGAATTATCCAAAAGAGAATCAGCCAGCAACGTTGATATAAATCAGCAATGGGAAAAGATGAAGCAAATAGTAAAAAGTGTAACAGAGGAAACGATTGGATTTAAGCCGAAAGTGAAAAGAACAGGATGGTATGACATAGAATGCAAAGAACTTATATAACAAAGAAACAAGGCTTGGCTATTAATGCTGCAAAGGGAGACAAGAATAACACTGCAATTATTTAATGAAAGAAGGGTGGCTAGCAAAATTTGCAGAAAGAAAAAAGTGCTTGGGAAAAATAAAAAATAGCAGAGATAGAAGAGTTGGCAAAAGAAAGAGATGTGAGGGGAATGTACCTGAAGATAAAGCAGGAAAAGAATGGCTTTCAAGCAAGATCTCACATGTGTGAAAGTAATGGTGGAGAATTGATCACAGAGAGCAGAATAGTACTAGAGAGTTGGGCACAACACTTTAAGGCGTACTGAATGGTTCAGGCTCGCCCACAAGGAGGACCGGACCCAATGGTCAAACAATCAACACTAAATGAAATAAAAGATGTGATCTTCACCATGAAAAATAACAAAGCCCCAGGAATAGACCTTATCTCTGCAGAACTGATAAAGCTAGGTGGTAACGTACTGCATAAGCAAATACACAACCTCATATCTAGAATCTGGCAGGAAGAAGAAATGCCAGTAGAATGGGACACGGCACTCATAATCCCTATTCACAAAAAGAATCTAAGTTGGTCTGCTCAAACTACTGAGGAATCTCCCTCCTTAATGTTGTGTACAAAATCCTCACAAAACTTAAAGCAAGAAAACTAGAAAGGTATAGTGAACAGATCCTAGGGGACTATCAATGTGGATTCCGACTGAATTGGTCAACCATGGATCACATTTATTTAGTATTAGATGTCTCCTGGAGAAATGTTACGAATATAAAATCGACACACACCAACTATATGTGGATTACAAAACAGCATATGATAGCGTAGACAGGAATTACTTATACAACCCTCTACAAGAACTTGGAGTCCCTAACAACAAGCTTACTCGGCTCATACATATGCCGATGGCTAACTCCAAAAGTAGAATCAAAGTGCAGGGAGAATACCCAAAGGAGTTCCCAGTCAATAAGGGCCTCAGACAAGGAGACTCACTATCATGTATCCTGCTTAACATCCCACTAGAAAAAGTTATTAGAAGCGTACATGTGAGCACCAGTGGCACCATAACAAGCTACTTCCACAGAGGTATTACAGAATAACAACCATCAGGAACCTTATATAGCCAGCCATTGCAGTACCTTGCATACGCAGACGATATAGCGCTACAGGGTAGAAACAGTAATGACATAATTAAAGCATTTGGGGAACTTGAAAGTGCCTCAGTCAAGGCTGAACCGAAGACAAAATATATGATAATGTCACGAAACTCCCACGCTGATGACAACATCAATATAAACAACCACAAATTTGAGAGCGTGGCTACATTCAAATATCTAGGTGTAACTAAAAACGAGCACAATGAAATAATGTCGGAGATAAAAGAAAGGATAGCAGCAGGCAACCGTTCCTATTTCAGCCTACAAAAGCTACTGGGAAGCAAAAGCCTCTCAAGGGGAAAAAAGAAGACAATATACACTACTATCATAAGACCAGTAGTAACTTCCGCTAGTGAGACTTGGACTCTTACCAAAAAAGCAGAGAACCCTCTCAATACTGTAGAGAAGCTTGTTTCGTCTCTGTTAACCCTTCAATCTGTGTCTTCAATAATCAGACGATTCAGGTGATGGTTAGTCTTGACCTTTTATTTGTCTTTTAAATCGTATTCACCTTCTCTCTCTCTCTCTCTCTCTCTCTCTCACTCAACTCTGACTGCCTTAATTTGTCTCTCTGTCCACTGTGTGTTCATGACTGTCCTCTACTCCTATCTGACGGAGCTCTCCTACCTGTCGGAGCTCTCCCAACTGCCCGCTCTCCTGTCTGCCTGAGTTCTCCCTAGATCCTGTCCAACGGTCCCTTTTTGTAAGTCCCACGCCCCTAGAGATTCCTTCCCAGGTCTTTAATCTTAATCCCACATCTAAGGCACTTAAATTTTAACCGTCTAAATAGTCATAAAGCCGCTGCGTAACGGTTGTCCCGGGGCAATCTGATATGCTAAAACCTTTGGTCAGTTACCGTGCTGTGGAATCAGATACGCTAGAACCTTTGGTCAGTTGGTCAGTTACCGTGCACGTGACATCATCACATTGTGGTTCTATTACGCCTCCCCTCATAAAATTCTAAGCGTATTGAATCAACTGTTACCCCATTCACCGTCTCCAAACAGTTGTGGTCAAGGTCAGAGTCAGCTCTGGGTCACAGTCAGAGCGCCTCTTACATTCACACAATCAGACCATTATGGCCGAGCAACGTTCAGCTAACAAGGAATAATCCAACATTTAAAAAATCAGAGAAAAGTAAAGTAAAAACATTTAAAAAATCAATTAACAGGAAGTACAACTCAAACTTTTCATTCTTAAAGGTCATCAAGAGGGCACCAAAGAAAACATTTGATGCAATTAAACAAGCTTTAACTCAAAATAACCATAATCATGACAGGATTAACTCAAAATAATGCAACATTTAGAAAATCAAGTAGAAAACTAAATTAAACGGCAAATGAATTAGAATTAAAAAAATGTTAAGTATGCCAGAACCAAATAAAATTTCAATGCACGAAAAATAATTGTTGGTTACAAAAAAACCTGAAACTTACTCAAACCCTTCAATCTTAAAGGTCATAAAGCCGCGGCGTAATGGTCGTCCCGGGGCAATCTGATACGCTAGAACCTTTGGTTAGTTGGTCGGTTGCCCTGCTTGGGGATTCCCCCCACCCAGTTCCACCCAGGTCTGAACACTCCACAATACATGGGAGATGAAAATCCTCAGAAAAATATACGGCCCAAAAATGAAAATGATTTCTGGAGAATCCGTACAAACCAAGAGCTATTGCCTCAAGCCTTCAAACCCCTAGTGCATGATTCCCTCAAAAAGTGGCACTGGAAATCAGTGAAATTTCCTCATAAACACCACATCAACACCAGGAACAGAAACATTGCAAATCCCATCTAGATGCATAGGAGCCAAAATGATCAATAAATTGATCGTGGGTCCTTAAGATATAGAAGAAGAAGAAGCTATACCAATTGTACAAAGACCCACCCATATTTGCAACAATATAAAAAAGGCAGACTGCGCTGGGCAGGACATATTGAAAGGATGCCGGACTGTAGAGCAGCAAAGGTGATATACAGGCAGAAACCTAGGGGCAGGCGACTCACTGGTCGCCGAAGGCTGAGATGGATCGACGATGTGGAGAGGGATTTACACCAGTTGGGGGTTCGCGCATGGAGGCGGAAGGCCATGGATCGATCCTTATGGAAGGATGTGGTAGTGCAGGCCAGGGCCCTACAGGGCTGTATTGCCACTGATGATGATGGTCTATCGATAGTAATGCTGGAGTTTCCTTCCTGAAGCTTTAAGTTTAGCTTACCCAAGATGTCTGACACAGTATTTATAACAACCTGCTTAACTTATTTGGTTGGACCAAGATTACCGACACATTACATCTAAATACCCTTTTAACTTACTTGGTCTATCAATAGTAATGCTGGAGTTTCCTTCCTGAAGCTTGAAGTGTGAGTCACCAGGTGCATGTTGGTACTGCCACTCTAGGAATGTGACGGTAGTATCCTGAATCTCAATGTGACAGGACAGGGTTGTTGTCTTGTTACCATAGTAGAAGTGGTCCCCAACTTTATACTCTGGATTGATGATAATTTCAATATGACTTAAAACTAACTTTGAACATACTATTGATGGTGAAAGTAAATGAGCCAATCAAAGTATGGGGAAAGGATGCAAAAAAACAATGAATGTGTCAGGAAGAATTGTTCTTCATGGTACAAAAAACAGAACATTATAAAATTAAAATAAACACTTGGCCGCAATGCAGTATCCCAAAGGACAGCACGGCGAATTTTGATATATGTAGGTGAGAGAGAGGAAATACAGGCAAAATTGTTACTGATGACAAATTTAAATATTACTTAAACCAACTAAACTTTTGATAGGTGATCATTCTCACCTTTAACCAGATCAATGTTCACCTTTAACCATCATAAGACTAATGCTCACCTTTAATCATCTTGAGGTTAATACTAATCTTCTGGGATGTTGGGCTTAAGGAGCAATTGTATATGCCAACATCATCTTGGCTGAAACTCTGAAACTCCATCTGAGCTCGCTCCACTGTTTTACCGTTAAGATGGTCGGTGATGAGGGTTCTGAAAACACCACGGAAATACATTGGATAAGATTCCAAGAAATGTGCATATTGATCTGATAGGAAAGAAAATTGCTTCATCAAATATACTATTTTATACCATCTTGACTATCAGTAATGTTCTAAATGGTACAATAGACAAAACAATTCATAAACCAGATAAATTCCCCAAGAACTCTGTACACATGCACCACAATTAAAATAAGCAAATGAAAATAACATGCTTTTCGAAACATCTTACACAGTGGCTGGCGATGAGCTCACTTTGAACCATATCGGCCTTTGTTCGGTGAATAGCTTGTTGGAGCATACAACGGTTAGCCTGGATCCCTCGACTACAAAAAGTACTCTAGATGCCGGCTCGATCTCAACGTCTGAAGCATGTTATAATGTAATGAAGTAAAACAAATAAAATATTAACAATCTTCTGATCTGGAGACAACCTCTTGTAATAAGACAGTGCCATTTACATATTAGCAAATTAATATCAAAATGACTAAGAGGTAGCACCACTATTAATATGAGAAATGTTGTATTTATATTGAAGGATTGTTAAATTTTGAAAGATCACTGCAAGCCTAAGATGTGTGTCATATTTAAGCTGAACAACCAAAAAAAAAATGTATTTAACTATGAATTTGAAAAATGTTGAAACAAGAGTGTGTTCAAATGTAAAAAAAAAAATTAATTATTGTCAAGAAAGAACAGAATGCTGAAAAGTAAAATTTGAAATAAAAAGTACATGGACGACAATGTGTACATTTGATTAAAAAAATTCACTAAGTAGATGACTGCGTAAATCACTACGTACATCACTGTGTAAATAATAACTTTTGAGGTCTGGATCTTTTTTTTTTACCCCACTCCTATTGTCCTGAGCTCAGATAGACCATTTTACTGAGTGTTTAGATATGAGTAACAATGTTTGCAATGGAAATGAAGTACTGTACTGACTCAGTGAATAACTCTGCTAAGAATACACTTCTGGTATGTTGCAACATGCATGCTGATGTGGCGAGGCTTTGCAACAGTGCCCAAACTATTTTATAATTACTAATTTAGTCGCAGCACATCTTTTTTGTCCACTGCTCGACATAAAATACAAATTAAAATCAGTACTGAGTTCAAGAATGAACCCTTTCAGGACCACCGCCCCGCCCCCCTGGGTAGATTTTTAAATTGTGTCCCTAACATTACTTAATCTCTAAAATACATAGAGTAGAGCACACAATTATTTTCATTAAATAAAATATTTTTAAAAATGTAGAATGTTATTTCCTGAACAAATGTATGTGACAGTGTATGTTTTAGATCCCAATATAGGAAGGAGACTTGGCTGGATAAGATAATAGAATCTCTAATTACAGTTAAGGGAGCAGTTTTAGATAAATGAAGATTATAATTATCACATACATTTTGTACCAGTAAAATATTCACATAATTAGAAAGTTTTAGCATTAAACATCTGGAAATGTGATTTCAAGTATTTCACATTTATTGTTAGTTAAAAGATGGACAAGAGGGCTTGAAATGGCCTGACAACAGCTGGTGGCCTGGTGACAGCCAGAGACAAATGATCACAGGTTGGCATGACAGAAAATGAAGCAGAAACAGATACCAACACTGAATTAAATGGGGGAAGAGATAAATGGCTTTGTTGTCAGCTGGGAAAAGATAACAGTTCTTTTTAAATAGTGCAAGACCTGCCTGCAAAGTGAAACTGGTTTTTTTTAAACAATCACATTTAAGTAATGAAGTAGTATTTTATTTTGAACAATATTTTTTCTAACTGATAAACAAGGCAACTTTACTTGTAAACATCAAGAAATTACTATACTAAACAAGGTAGCTGGATTTTTCATCAAAATTATGTATGGCAGGACTGGCCTAAACGATGCCAAAGCCGGTTATTTCTTTGACTTGCTTCACGTAACAACTTTACTGCCACTTGTCTTTTTATTTGTAATGTTAGCATCATAACTCTCAGTGGGCACCAAATTATTAATGGATGCCTAAGAACCATTCGAAGATAGCAATTCAAAGAAGGGGTGGGGGGGCGCGCGGCGGTGGTGTTGTGTTATTTAACAACAAAAATCATTATGATATTAAGGATGCAAAAAGCATAAAAACGCAACAAAATTTATACTGCTAGATAGGTCTGCCACACTATAGCTTAAAAGATTATTTGGTTATATTTAGTATGAGCCATTTAAAGTAATCTGAAAATAGATATAGCAGAGGTTTTTAGCAGCTAATTTACATTCCATTTATTCAGACTCTGACATCAAAAACATATCAGAAATTTATTGCTGAGCTATTTAAACACTTAACAGTTCAAGTGGATTCAAGGGTCCCTCTTCTGTACCAACAAAGACACTGTTTTAAGCATTAACGGCAGACAGCAATGGTAAATTAAATTATCATGATAGGCAAGCTTATCTTCCTCTTGTAAAACTTTTCAAGAAGATGACGTGCGTGCAGTACTATTTCAAGAAACAAACAAAAGATTTTCCTATGGCTAAAATAAATCTGAATGTCATTGTTATTAGTTTGTCTATAATAGCTTAACTGGGTTGGAAAAACAATATTAAAGGGTAGTTATCTTGAGATCCCATTTACACAATCATTCATTGCATCATCAGTATCTCAGTGATTCATGCCACCATGCTTACTTATATTTCTGCTTTATTTTTTATTACTCTGGCAAGATTTCAGGCAGAGAAAATTTTTTTTAATGTTTCTATTTGAACAATTCAGATGGAAAAATACAAGGAGAACTAATTTAATCAGCCATTAACAAGCCTTAATATTGTGATGACTCATTTCAACTGAGTACTTTGTTTTGACACCTAAAGTGTCTGGACCTTCACACAATGGGAGCATGTGATGGCTGTTGAGGAAATGAATTGGGGGGGGGGGGGGGGGGCACACGCACAATACAGTCAATTCAAAAGTGAACTATTAGTCACATAAAACCAGCATACATAGTATCATATGCATAGATTAATATGGTATTTTAGCAGGGTTAGTAAAAAGTATTTAACCAGTGATTGTATTTTATTATTTATTTGTTATTTCCTCTCCCAGGGTTGACTAAAAACAGGGATAAACTCAACGCAAGCATAATACAATAATAAGGAATAGGTCTATTAATAAATATTTTATTTTTTTACTGAAAATGACAATGATCATGTCTTTTCTTTCCATAGACTACACTGGTACCTTGGAGTCCAAAATTATTCTGTTCCAGAACCCTGTTCAACTTCCAAGACAATGTTTCCCCTTTAAAATAATAGAAACTGGAATAATGTGGTCCTGGGTCCCATAAACTTCATAGATCCCAATCCTTTTCTTCAAGTAATTGAACTACCCCCTCCTGGCATTAAACACCTTTTGAACACTAGTGTCAGGTATGCCTTTCACTAATTCATCGGAGGACCTTGGCTTTCTGACAAATTATTGCCAAAGAAATCACATCACCAGCCAGATGTTTTTCATTAATCCAAACAAGTTTTTTCCATCTCTTCAATCTTCTAGAGGTCATGTTGTAACTCCTTTTGTCTCATCAGCTACTTTAACAGCTTCTTTATTTTTCAAAATTATAAAAAACAGTAGATTTAGGTATACAAAACATAACAGTAACAACCGCTTTCATAGTTAGCAATAAGATCTTCTTTAACTTCAATTCTTCCCTTACTTTTATTTACCTCACTGCACTTTTTAGGACCCATGGCAAATACATACTCTGTTTTAATATAAAATAATAAAACAGCAAAGGCAAAAAAGCAGTGAAAATCACACAAGAAGACACCTTAAAACTTCCAACAACTAAACGATAAAGTGTATAGGTGGCTGAAGCACTGGAGAAACATATGCACAAAACACATTAACAAGGTGGTGGGCATATGGATTTCAAATCAGCTTTAAGATTCCAAGCTGTTTGAGTTCTGGGGCATTTGAATTTCAAGTTAACACTTTATTGGTCCAGACACACTTCATTACAATTTGTTAAATGGTTTTTGTGTAGGTATAGAGAGACAATATTGAGTATTTAAATGATAAAAAGCCCCATGCCTTTAAATAATGACATAAGTTATTACCAAGATTTTAAAAAAATTCAAAGTAGGCTAAGCCTCTTTGTATTGAATTTAGTTATGACGCTAAAAATTAAATATTATCATCATGGAATGCTTGGGTAAGTATGACTCCATAACTTTCCATTATCATATCAATATTATAATTATCAGGTAAACGTGGTACTCGCAAGGGGGCGTCAATATCAGGGGGCGCATTTTCTATATGCCAGGGGTTAAAGTTTCAGGCTTCGCCCGGGGCGCCGTTTTTCCTTTGCACCATCCTGCATCCAGTACCGTTTCGTGTGGGGGGTGGGGGTTATGTGGAACAATGTTTTGTTAGAAGTATTAATAAAAGTGTCAATTTTTCTTTTAATTTGTGACAATTTCATTGTTAATAAATAGTTTGTGATTTACAAACAAGCGAAATGCGGGAAAGTAATGAAATGTATGGCAATGGGGAAGTGATCACAAGAACAACAGATTACTATTAAAGCAAAACGAGACCTTCGAATTAGATAAAATCACTAACACTGTGTCTCATTTTACTCAGCAAAAATCAGAGTCAACTAAGATGTCACCTAAATAAGTCGCTCTTATTGAATCAGAACTAACCAGCTACAGACCATTTAAACAACTTTTTTGTCTACAATGAGTATGAGATGATTCGCAACTGCCAAGAAAAAGTTATTCTATTAGTGGAGGAAGGAGGCTGTCCACCACAGGCATCACCCTTTTCTTTATATGGAGGGATGCCATTTTTAGCCAACTAAAGAGTTTTTGTTATTTTTAAAAATTAAATCAAGTTGTTCAGGTTTGAAGTGCTATTTAAACAAGTGATAGTTCCATAAAAAATATCATTGTGCACAGTAGAGAGAAGGTCACTGGGTTTTCTGTGGTGTAGAAAGAGAGAGTGGGCGATGTTTTCTCATTGAAGTATTAGGCCCACATGCAATCACGTTACAAGAGTGTATAAAATATAGAAAGATATATCCCTCCAGGCTCACTGATTCTGTATCAGACGGGTGGGTGGCTTACGCCAATATAAAACAAATCAGATATGGAAAAAACGAACACTCCATTGTGGTGCATCAAAATAATATTGTAGATCCAATTTGGGTAATCTACCACTTGAGCGTCGGCCAAGAAAAAATCAAGTTGTTCCAGTTTCAAGGGCTAATAACAACTATTCTTATATTGGTCTCCGTTAATGGTTCCACTTCCGTATAAAGTTATTTAGCACAATTCATTTAAATAATTATCACTATTAAGCTACCGATATGGCAGGAAGAAAAAAAGGAGAGACTACAATAGTGCAGATGCACGAAGTGTTTGATACTGATCAGATACGAAACGAAGAAGTATGGCGGTTGTCCACACTACTGCTGAATTTGTCAGACCCTAACTCAGCATTACGATGGAGTGTGCGTCGACACCTGTTAAAAACAGTATGAAATGTGGTGTCTGCAATGGGCTGTGCAGGTTAAACAGTTACAATCAAGGATAGGGCGGTCTCAGGTGGGCCTGCGCTGCATGCAATTACACAAAGTCACTACAGGAAGGCTTTTTTTTTTTGCAGGAAGTCACCTCAGCATCCAGCAAATTATTATTTTAGTTTATTGCTGGTGTTGTGATACGCCACAGTTGCAGATGGCACGGGAGGCTGATGTCTCAAATGGCACTAATGTGTCGGACTGGTGTAATTTTATGGGGGAGGAGTGCGAAACCTGACTGGCTGCGAACGAATGCATCTGAAATTGGGGGTTTCAACTATCAAAATATTTCCACAGAAAATACCACCGTGGACAGTGGAGAGAGGGTCACTGGGTTTTCGGTGGCGTGGAAAGAGAGAGTTTTCTTATCGAAGTGCCAGACCAACATGCAACAAAATTACAAGAGTGCATCGAAATATTTATACTGTCTGGATCACTTATTGTATCTGACTGTTGGCCGGCATATGTTAATATAAACCAAATAAGACATGGTATATATGAACACTAAGTTGTAGTGCATCAACAAAATTTTGTTGATCCAGATGATGCTGCTGCCCACACACAGAATGTGGAAAACATGTGGATGCGCGCAAAGCCCAAACTCAAAAGACAGTTTGGCACAAGCTGTGATTGTGATCTTTTCCCTTCATATTTACATGTATTCATGTTCTGCAACCGCTTTCGTGGAAATGATATTTTTAAAAACTTTATTGTCACCTTGGTGGGAGGACTATGCATAATTTCATTTTCACACATTAAATTGTTTAAATTCTTTTATTTTAATTTTTTTTTAAATTTTTTTTTTGAAATTAAATTGTTTTGGATTTTTCATTTAAAAAATTGTCTTGAGTTATTTGTATTACAAACATGCTGGAATGACTATGTTCAATGTCATAAAAAACAATGTAAGTATAAGAATAGTTGTTTAAATAGCCCTTCAAACCACAACAACTGGATTTTTCCTTGGCGAAGCTCAAGTGGTGGATTACCCCCTAATTTTTTAAATTCTTTTTTTTTTTAAATTTTCTAGTTTTTCAAATTTTAAAAAAAGTTGTTTTGAAGTATTTTTATTTGGTATTAGTTTAGTACTATTATCTATATGTGCTGAAATGAATATCTACAATTACAATTACAATTCAATGTCATTTTTTGTCTGTCATGTCATATGAACAGAATTGTTATTTTTTATAAAGCACTTTAAACCGGAACAACAGGATTTTTAAATAGCAGATGCTCAAGTGGTAGGTTACCTTATTAAGTTGCGAAAAGCTCACAGCACTAATGACATATCACGGATACGAGCACTCGGCACCACTTCCTACAACTAAATTAGCCTAACAAATTCAACTTATTTAACTTTTCTTATTCTTAGTCTTACTTTATTAATCGCTAAGAACACAATCATCTCCAGGAGGAATAAAATCATATAAAGTATTGGTCATATAAAATTTACCTTGAGCGTAGACCGAATTAATTAGTGCAAAAGCAAAAATAACATTAAATTTCAACATTTTATAGTCTGTGAGACTTTCCCCTGCCCTAGTGCTTGTGGTTTGTTGTTTGCACTGATGGCAACACTTATTTTATTTCATTTCCGACTTCCGGTCCATGTACGTTTGATGTTTAAGTAAAAATCGTAAAGCATTCTAAATTATATTTTATTAATTTCTAAAATTATAAATCAAATACAGCAATGGGTTGCATAAATTTTGAAAATTATTTTATTAATAAACAATAAAATAATTGTTATTGTTATAATTTCAAAAAAAGAGAAGTAAAACAAAACGTCAAACTGGTCAGTTTTAACACTTAATTTTGAGGGTGAAGAAGGAGTTGTTTTTTTTTTTAAATAATAAATGTTAAATAATTTTAATGAAGACCGAAAGAGCGATAGTAAATAACAAAAAATGTATATATTCTTTAAAAAATGTGTAGCAATTAAAGTTTATAACTAATAACTACGGTCAAGCGACTGGATAGGGACGGGGGGGAGGGGGGGGTCCACGAATTTGTGACAGTATCTCGACGAATCTGTGATGGTTTGTTAAAAAAATTAAAAGTGACTATATCTAAATTTTGAGAAGAAAAAAAACATATATAATTTTGAGGGGGGTGGGGGGTAATAATCGCCAAAATATCATTATTTCTTAAGACTTAGTGACTACCTCCCCCCACTCCCTTATTTATTATTATTTTTTACAGTTGAGAACATTGTTTCTTTCAGACAATTTTCTCTGGCGGGGCATTTCAGATTTTCGGGAGGACAGGGTACAAGTGACTAGAGGGGTAGCTAAGGTTGGGACAGAAGAGGGGACAGATGTCACCGTGCCCCAGACTAACGGGGGCACCAAAATGGGCTTTGGCGGTTGAGGTCGGCATGAAAATGAACCTTGTCCTCTGGCGCCAAACACTCTAGCTACGCCATTGCCAGTTGCGTAAAACGTGGGGCACTTTTTTCTTCATGTGGAGGTACTGCATGTTTAGGAGGGTTTCTTTCAGCTAGATCTCCGGGGGGGGGGGCAAAGAACATTTAAATAACACAGTAAACGTGCACTATTTGTATGCGCCCGTTAAATTCTTAATTCAAAGGCACCAATTACTTTTTTTTTTTAATGTTATAAAAATGATAATTTAGCCATATTTTAAAATATATTTTCATTTTATTGTACAGAGGGAGGGGGCGGGGGGCACTCAGCCCTGGAAGGGACGCCTGAAAAAAAAAAACACTGATCAAGGAAACTGGAAAGACAATGTGAGAATCTATTCCTGTTGAACTCAAGAAGAGTCAACTCTCTAACCATCAACTAAAGGGGACGCAACCCCTTGTTGTTGTTGTTTTTTTTTTTTT